GCACCCTCCCCTCCTCCCTGCCCCTCGCCCTCCTCCCTGCCCCTCACCCTCCTCCCTGCACTCTCCCCTCCTCCCTGCCCCTCATCCTCCTCCCTGCCCCTTGCCCCTGCACCCCTTTACCACATGTGGCCTTGCTGCACAGAGCCCCTGGGGCCCAGCCACCTGATTACCACACCGTGCCTTGAGCTCAGCACCCACCCCACCTCCCCAGGTCAGAGGAGGTCGGGGACCTCATGAAGCCTGATGGCACATCTCACAGTGAGAAATGCTGAGCCCCATGGCAGGGACATGTCCAGCCTATGAGAGGCAGAGCTGAGAGGTGAAGCGGGTCCCACTGGTGTGCCAGGGAGTGTGCCGTGGCTTATGGGTCTTTTTGTGGTGGCAACAACCACCACAAAAAGGCCAGTGCCCGCTGAGCCCCAGCTCCCAGTCGATTGAGCTGTACCGTGCACGGATCAGCTCATGTGGTCTTCACTCCCTGCCTGGGCAGTGTAGCCTCCGCCTGCACCCTCCCTTTACAAGAGAGAAACTGGGACGTTCCCAGCAAGATAAGTGCTCAAAGCCTTCCTTGACAAATGGCAGAACAAGGGAGGGGCCTTGCCTGGACCACATCCCACTGCCAGGAGCAGGATTCAAACCCAGGTCAAGAGAAGCATTTGATTCTTTGTAGGAAGTGAGAGCAGCCCAAACCCCAAGGCTTGGAGGGCCATGGGCCTCAGAGCCGGGCTCTGTCCCCATCCCCCTCCTCCACCTCTGCCCCAGCCTTGGGGCCATTTCCCTGGGGGTGGCTTGGAGAGGGCTGAGAGTCTCTGTTCCCCACAGTTTGGAGACGCCGGCCTGCGGCTCCTGTCAGAACACCTCACCATGCTCCAGGTGCTGAACCTGTGCGAGACCCCAGTCACTGACGCTGGCCTGCTGGCCCTCAGCTGTGAGTACCCAGGGGGCTGCCGGGGGAGGGGTTGCTTCATTCCTTCCTTCCTTCTGCAAACCTGGCCAACTTTGTACCAGGCACTATACTGTGTGCTGGGACAGAGACTTGTCCATTCACTAAGCAAGTGTTAACTACACACCTACTGTGTGCCAGGCACCATTCTAGGTTCTGGGAACAAAGCAGTGGGGGTAGTATATCCCTGCCCTCATGGAACTTGTGTTCTAGAGGAAAAAGAAAACAGTAAGG